TCTACAAACTTACTGACTGAACAGCTTGCCAGCCCAGGAAACAGTTTGACCTTTTGTGGAACAATAACTTTTTGCCTTTGTAAACAGAATTTTATCTCTATGTCTGGGCTCCACTCCACACTACAAAAGATGGTCCTTCTCTCCCCTCATGTAGTTGATTTAGAGGGTTTCAGTGTCTACAGTGGCCCCATGCAGCGGGCCGGGTGCTGGAGGTGAACTCCCTATTCCCAAGGGGGAAGAGGGGCCAGATGGGGAGAGGCAGATCTGGTGGTAGTGTTCAGGAGGAGGTGACAGCATTAACTTGAATCAGATCAGAGGACCGTGAAGCAGGGAGAGAGAGACTGTGCTGCAGGGTTGGGCCTTTTGCAGGCATCTATTACTGTGTAACCAGCTCCACCAAACTTAGTAGCTTGCAGCAACCACCGTTTTACTGCATGATTCTGTGGGTCAGGAATTTGGACAGTGCTCAGTTGGGCAATTCTTCTGCCCCACATGGTATCAGCTGAGGTCCCTTGGTGGAATTCCACTGATGGAATGGCTGGTCTGGAGAGTCCAAGATGGCTTCCCCCTCAACAGCTGGCACCTTATCAGGGTGGTTAGAAGGCTGGGCTCTGTTGGGACTTGCAGCTGGAGCGCCTGTGTGTCGTCCTCAACATGGTGGTCCCAGTTTTCTTACCTGGCAGCCCAGAGCTCCCAGGAGACCCAGGCAGAAACTGTAAGGCTTTTTTCAGACCTGGCTTTGGACATCTGACTGCCACGTAACTCTCCACCCTGGTGGTAAGCAAGTCACTCTGGCCAGCTCAGGTTTAGGGAGAGGGACTTAGATTCACGTCTCAATGGGGTAAGTAATGGGAATTTTGGCCGTCTTTGATTTACCACACTGTGTTCCTTGATAGGAGAGCCATTGGTGGACTTTCAGGGGAGACAGCTGGATGGAGTGGTAGGTGCATGATACATGACCAAACGTCCTTTAAGATTTGGAGGCAAAGATCAAATAGTGGGTTGAAGATTCAATGAGTGTCAGAAGTAAGATGGTAGATGTGGGGCACTCTTGGCTGTGAAGAGAAGGTAGAAGTGGGAGTGGAGATCAGAGGAAAACTGATGATGGGAGGGATTTTGCTTATTTTTAACTTCGCGTGTTTGCCTTGGAAACAGGTGAGACCAACAACCTGATCTTTTCCAAATCGTATTCATGGGTTTTTGTACTACCAGTTGATTAACACTGTTGAAGTTCTCTCTTGTGTTTGGTGATTCTGTCTTTGGTCCTCATCTTTCTGCCTGTGGCTAAGAAGGGGTTCTTCCTATAAATGGTTGTATTTCTCAGGATCTGGCCTTGCCTTCTTTACTTCATTCTGTATCCCTTTCTTCAGTAATCTCATCTACTCTCATGACTTTAACTGCCACTTTTGAGGTGAAAGCACCCAAATCTGTAACTTTTGTTGCCGCCTACAGGCCTTCCCCTGGGTGTCCCTGTAATTTTTTTTTTTACCTCTTTTTAATAATGCTGCCCCCCTGCTGGTCTAGCCCAGAAGCCTATATAACATTCTCTTTCTCTGTCCCTTGCTCTGTGTAGCTAAACAGGTCACCAAGTACTACTGATTTTTGCCATTAAAACCAAGGTTCACAACCTTGACTCCAAGTAAACATTGCCCGTGGACCTTTTAAAATGTGTACACCTGAAGCCCAGTCCCAGAATTACTGAATTGGGGTCTCCTGAGACTTTAGGCATGCCTAGTTTATGAAGCCTCCCAGGGGATTCTGGTGTTCACGTAACATTGAAAACAACTCTCTAAAATCTTTCTCAAATCCTCCAACTAATTTCCATCATTGCTGCTTTGGTTTAGGGTTAAAGAGTTTCCTGTAGCTACCATAACAAATGACTACCAATATCTCCAAAAATAATTTTTTTCCAGAAAGGTCACATTCACAGATCTGGGATATGCACATATATTTTTAGAGGCTATTATTCAATTTACTGTATTATTCCTATGGTTATGATAGTTCTTCCCCCACCTGATCATCTTGACTCTAATCTGGATGTCCATCGTGTATTGTGCTGCAATTGCTTTATACAGCAGGCCTTCGAATACTGTCATTTTTTGCAGCATCGTCATTTCATTATAGTGATGATGAGATACCATAGGAACTTAACTCTCATTTATACTAAGTAGTCTATGGTAAAATTGATTTTGTTATGTGCATTTTGCTTAGAATCACAGAACCTATTTAACAACATTACTTTAGAACTTACTGTATATACTGTATATGTTAGTCCTTTGCTTAAATCTTACCAGATTCCCCATTTCCCGGAGGGTAAAAAGCCATACCCCTTATCATGGAGTACCAGGCTTTTATAACCTAGTCCTTGACTCCCTTTTACCCTTTCCCAGTATTTCCTCTCCTTTTGAACTTTATACTCAGGCAGTGCTAAATTACCTACAGTCCTTTTTGCCTTTGTATATATTATTGCCCTGTGTTCCATGTTTAGTTTTATTGTTCAGAGTTCAAGGCAATTCAAGCAGTATCTCCTCCATGAAACCTTCCTTAATGCTTGGTGCTGTTAGTGCATAAAATGACTAGTGCATTCACCTAAGTGTTTTATCACACTTGGTTTTGTGCTTTTCTTTGAATCAGAGAGCTCTGTAAAGACAGGGAAGCTGATGATTCATTATTGGAGCCCTAATACTTTGTATTATAAATGTTGAGTGAATGACCATGTAGCTTAACCTAATTAGAAATTTGTCTCATTTTAACAACTGGTTTTCCACTGCTACCTTAGTTATTTCCAATAGGATTTTTTACTAGTAATCATTTAAATGTATTATGTAAGTAGTCAATGTCAATAGATTGATATATTATTTGCTTAACCTGCAATATCTGCATCTCTGAGCAGGCAATTTAAATTAAAATGTTTCCGCATATGTTAAGGTTGGCATTTTTGGTTTTTGTATTTTTCCCTTTATTTTAGATAAGTCTTGTAAGCAGCAGAAACCAACTTGAGTTGGCTGACACTAAAAAAGAGTTTCATGAACAAGAATCCGAATATAGCTGGGCCAAGGGAAACCCTTAAGGATCCACTCTTCGTCTCTGTTTGCTACTTGCCTCTGTTCATCTGCCTCATTCCAGACTGCGACATCCCCACAGCTTGCGTTTTACAGCTCTTGCCATTCAGAGAGACTGGCTGGTTGTCTCTCTGTCCCGTTTTTGTATTTTCCGGGATAAGAATGTCTTTGGCCAGCTTGGGCCAGATGTCCACCTCCAGCCAGGGAGGTGCAGACGGTGCCGGCCTGGCCAGTTCATTCACACAGGGTGCTGGGGCTCTCTGAAGCAGTGAAGGGGTAGGTTCCAAAGAAGGGAGTGTTGTTGAGAGCAGATCCCTAAAGAGTGTCTGCCATACTCTTCCTAGGTAAGATCCTGTTGACTAGCAGCAGAAAATTGAGAGGAAGATGATCAGAGAGGGAGTCAGGGAACGTGAGGGGTCCAGGAAACCTTGCCAGGTTTTGTACCAGTTCTCTGTGGGCCGCAGTGGTGAAAATGGTCTTCTCAGTTTTGTAGAGTCCTGGCTTTAATTGATTCACATTCCTCTTAGTACAAGATGTTCATCTTGATTTAAGGGATATGGAAAGATATTAAAACAAAATGTGTTACTAGCGGTTGCTTACTCATGGGTATGTTCATTATACTAATAATCACAAGTATGTTTTAAAGACAGAGTACATTATTCTGATCTTGCCTCAGAAAAAGATGAATACTTGAAATAAGTTATCTCTGTATTCTAGAAACATTTTTATGTAGCTGACATTCCTTTGTGATGGAAATGGTAACAGATTAAAAACACAGCAGAAATAACTTCTGGTGATAATTTAAATCCATTGTCATACTGTAGCTACCCAGTTGTAAAACACAAAAACAACATGGTTTCAGCTTTTACTGTTCCCAGTGGGCTGATGCCCTCTCTCCACCATGCTGACCACCATGCACTTCTTGACAAAGGCAAGAGTGTTAGGACAGGGACAAGCCCCCAGACATGCCGCCCCTGACCTTCGTGTTCTGAAGGAGCCTTGGAGCTGTCACACTTACCCATGTAAATATGACCTTCCTTCAGTTCTCTTCCTGAAAAGAATTGTCAAGGGAGAGGTGGAGAGTGGTCGTGTCAGTGAGCAGCTTGAGACAGCGGTGAGAACATACACGAGCCAATTAACCCTGAGTTAGTAAATGCAGTTGAAGACAGAAACGCTACCTGCAATCCTGCATTTATTTTAAACACTGGTGTTAGCCTAAGGTGTTAATACAGGGTCTCTGCTGTGGACATTAGCTGTTTTCCAGGGGACTTTTTAAGTTGACAGTTTGTGTACTAAAATTCATCTCTTTTACGTTTGGGCCATTTTATGGGCAGCCTTCTGATAGAGTCATATTTTATTTTTCATTTTTACAAGGTATTTTTTGGCTAACCTGACAGTGTGGGGTTAAAGTAGAAATGAGAATAAGTGTAGAGAATTCAGAACTTCTAAGAATGCAAGTAACTAAATTTGGTCTTCTTACAAATAAAGATCCTACAGACATTAACATGATTTGGGAGTGAGAGATGAGGTTTAATTAGTATCTATTTTCTAACTAGTTCATTTAAAAATATTTCTTGGGTGTTTCTCTGGGGTCCATTAGAACAGCGCCTGCTGAATTGAGCTAGCACTGAGACAGCCTCTATAGAATTCTCATTTGCTTATTTATACTCTGTCTCTTTGCAAAAAAGATTTGAAGAGTCTGACTTTATAGGATAGGAAACCTATAATTACATTGTGCATCACTCCTAAATTAAGTGTCTGGAAGTGATTTGAATTTCATTACGGCTGACGTCTGTTTTGCAGCCCTTTCCTTTTGTGAGGTGTTTAGTGGGCAATTCTTTATGACCACTCCTGTATTTTCCCTGTTCCATGTAACTTTTCTTCTTAAAACTTTTAAAACATCCTTGAATAAGTGAACTCTTTCATCTTTGTTTATAGGTACAATGGTGCTTTACCTAATGGAGACAGAGGCCGGAGGAAAAGCAGATTTGCTCTCTATAAACGACCCAAGGCTAATGGAGTCAAACCGAGCACGGTCCACGTGATATCCACGCCACAAGCATCCAAGGTAGGTGGCTCCTGCGCCGCTGGAGGGCTCGGCAGACAGGGACTCACCGTGATTCCTTGCTATTCTTTATCTTTTCAGTCTTATTTCTCTGTGGGACAGAGTTTCTCAGCCATTTCAAGCTGGATAAATCTTGGTTGTGAAGTGCTGTCCTGTGCATTGTAGGACACGTAGCAGCATCCCTTCAGTCCTTAGATGCTCGCAGCATATCAGTCCCACCCCACTGCCAACTGCCACCAACATTGTGACAACCAAAAATGGCTCCACACTTTGCCAAATGTCCCGTGGGGGGTGGAGTGAGCAAATCCCTCTTACCCGCCTCATAAACCACTGCTTTAGGTTATAGTGAAACTAGCGTATATCAATTAAGAATAGTTGTGGTGGAAAGATAAATGATGTTCTTTATTCTAAAGACTGTTTTTTATTAAATCTTGGTATGAACTTCATTGAGATTTATTTTTCTTCTGCTAATTGAGTAGTGGGTGTTTTCACATAATTTTCACCTACATGGAATTGGATTTGTGTAATTATTAGAAGGATTGGAAGTAAACAGAGCTAAATGCTGTAAGAATCCTGTACACATTTCCTCTCATAAATTTCAAGTGACTAAAATGTTAATTTTTAGAACTATTTCATATGTTCTTTGATATAAAAGTGGGGACAGGAATCTCTGTTTCCGTTTTGGTTGATATATTATTGCTGTTAGTTTTATGACAATTTTCCTTTTTAATTAAATACATTCTTTATAATATAGTTTCCTTTTCTATAAAACAATTAGATTTACCTGAAGTATTTCATATGGGGCACTGGCTGTACATGTTTATCATCATGGGTTAGACCATCTGGAATAAATAAGAGACTTGATTCTCATTTTTACTGAAAAATCCATGTTCAAAGAGAAATGAATGGCTTCACAGAAGCACATGTGGTATTTATACTCAGTCTTAGAAATGGATCACTTTTGCTAATGTTTTTATTTAAAAAGCTCCTGTGGTGGTTTCTGAAGCAGTGTCTGGGAAAAGTTTGCTAGATTGTACCAATTAAAATTGTTTTATAGTAATGAGGGAATGGGTAGACAAGGAAATATCAAACTCCAAGGAAACAGGAAAGGAGAGATTAATATTGAGTGGCACAGTTTTTTGGCTAGAGAAGGGGGGATAAAGTAAAAGTTTTAGGAAAGGAAGGACACTTTGTAGGGAAAATAAAGAAAACCAGGCTTACAAAGATCTCGAGAACTGGAGGAAGTGAAATAGCAACAGAATCTGAGAACATCAAGGAAATACAAAAAACATTCTATAGTCCAGAAATATTTGGTGAGAAAGTACACTGAAGACAAATATTTTTTAAGCATGGGATATCATGTTGTAGATCTGGCCCTTATAATTTTGTCTGTATGTTGACATTGATCTTTCTTTCCTCTGGCTCTGTACCTTTTTTATTACATTAACTTTTTTAAAAAATCTCAGATTTTATGTTAATACAATAGCTTTAGATACTTTAAAAAATTTTTATAGAAATCTTTGATTACTCAGGCTTCATGTTACGATAGAACATGAAAGTTGGTACTATCAGCAGATCGGTGGCTCTTACTCATTACCCATATCTAGCTGCTCCAGCTGTAGCTTTTTATGCACTATACTTATACCTACATTTTCCCTGAAGTTTTCTTTTTTTATTATAGATCTTTTCATAGTTGTCTTTCTAAATCCATGTTTATAAATATCAGCCACAGTACTAGTAGCAAGGCAAATTGGGTTTTGGCCTTGACCCTCTCACTTGTAACCTAGGGAGAAAAATATCCTCATTTACACAATGAAAGAGTTGGCTATAGGCAGGAGCCATGTTGAATCTGATGAGTTACTTCGGCGATGAGGAACACAAATGATTCTGGCTTTAAAAAAAAAAAAAAGCAAAAATGGAGAAATTATTAAAGGATAGGGTGAGAACAGCTTTCAGAAATGGGCGAAAGTTTGAGTAAGTAGGTTTTGTGAGATCCAGAGTATCAGTAGGAGTTAACATGGATATTCTTTCCAGGGTGTTATAAAGTGACTTGGCTCCAACTACCTTCTATCTCTTTTAAAGGTTTTAAATTCTCAGGAAAGAGAATCTGATAGGCCTTGTCTGGGTCAGTCAGCCATGACCAAGGGAGATGAGCAGACCAGACATATTTATTGCGAGCTAATCAAATACCCCATATGGCATTTCCCCCATGCATCGTATTCATCTGTGTACCTGGAGGTTGAGGGCCTCGCAGCTAGCATTTCATCCCACCTGAACCTAGCACCTTAGTCACAAATCCCCCTCTCCTGTTCCCTCCTAAGACCCCTTCCCTGATCAGTTTTGCCTTTCCACCCTCCTCTGTCACCTCCTTTGTTGGCACGCTTGTCAAAATCTCTTATGTATTTAACTTTTCTTAGATGGTCCTCCTACTGCCCCAGTTTAACTGAATCCTGGTTTTTATCAATATACTCTTTTTTCCATCTCTTCCTGTTCATGGAACTAGAAATGTTTTTATGTTTCTATTTCAGCCTTCTTTTTAACCCTGCGTTATTAATTAAGCTGCACTAGCCTTACTCCTGACCTCACTGACCTACAGTTTACTCTGCATCTTTCAGCGATTCAGTACTTAGGCAGGCTGATCTCTGTTTCTCCCCAGCGCCTGTTAAAACGTGAATTAGCATCCATGGTTTATACAGCGCTGTAACTCAGTTTCAGAGACTGCCACTTCCTATCCACTTTTCCCTCTGTCATTTGAAAGTAACCATAATCTCCAGTTCATTCTACTTGTGTTTACATTTAGCTTCTTATCTCATCAAGACATCTGGCCCTTTTGCCTGTCCTTATTTGCCCCAGTTGTTAGCCTGCTTGGCTTTTCCATCTGTGTTGCTGACTTTACCCCAGATTCCCTTTCTCTGGTACCTTTTGGCACCTGTTCTTTGTGAGTTCGTGGCCTGGGGCCCTTCCGAGCCCTACTGGATTGTTTTTCTTGCTCGCCCTGTTTCCCATCAGAGTGCCAGGGTGTGTGGTGGTACTTGGCAAAAGTTGTTGGACCCCAGTCAGCAGTGGTTTCCCTGCTCTGAAAGTTCTGATTCTGCAGTATTGATAGTGAAAAGGCCATCTTTAATTGGAGTTGTAAAAGTGAAAGCTAGAAGGGTGGGTGTGGCTACCATTATTAAATTTGAGCCCTTGGCCTTTAGACTGTGTTGTTTCTTCCCTTTGCCATAATCATTTCCTCTGCCCCACAGTCTAGGGGCAAAACAGGGATTACATCTTTGATGATGATAGTGGCAGCTGGGAAATGGAACCTCTTAGTCTTCCATGCATGCCAGTATCCAAGCTAAGTCAGTGGCAGATGGCAAGCTGTGCTACTGTTGTGTAGTCTTTATTTGTGTAATCTTTAGTTCGGTACATATTTGCTCTTGGAATACTAATACTCAAAAATATTTCTCCTATTATATAATTTTTTTAAAACCCTTACATCCTATTTTACTTTAGGCATTTCTGTTACACAGACATAGGGTATTTAGCAATTTATTCATCCATTCATTTACTCACCAAATATTTAGCTAGCTAGCTCTTTCAATGGCGGGGCAAGGCATCATGCTAGCTATTAGATACACTACAGTCAACAGAACATGCCTGCATGGAGCTGTTGTCTACCATTTGGCAAACAGTAAGTCATCATGTGAATACATACTTAACTGCACATTGTGAAAAAGTATCGTGGCGGAAAAGAACAAGGGGCGAGGAAAGGGGATGCAGAGTTGAGAGTGGTAGATGGGAAGACCCTGGGGGAGCGGCGTGTGAGCTGTGAGCAGGAGTCAGCCACGGGAGCAGGCGCAGCTGATGATGGCAGACCGGGGTCTGCTCGGAGAATGTGACATTTTTTTCTTGGGCAACATGGAAGGGACTAGCATGACATGACTGAGAGCTTTCAGTTGATTTATGTTTGTTCACTTACTTTTTAATGAAGCAGGGCAACTGATTTGCTTTTACGTAATTGGTAAATAGTATGATGATGGTGGTGGTGCCGCCTGAGAGGTGAATGTTTTGGTAGCAACTGGTTTAAATTTAGCGACATTACTGTGGAAAGCTCTTCATCCTGATTTTCCCTCCTTAGATTGTGCTGTACGGAAATCTCCTTTTTTGGTTATTTTTACTTTTAAAAAGTGACTGAATATCACTTGGTTCCAGTTGGCATATTTCAGGATGGAAAATATCAGCGGTCTTAAAATGACAGTTTCCAGAAAATATTAGGGCTATTTAATGTGATTGCTACAACCAGGATTGCTCTTTAGCTGTTTACATTGGAGTGGCTTTCCTGTTTGATAAGATAATGAAACTCTTCTGTATCAGTTAGTGAGTAATGTAATAGTAACTGTGTGAACTGGTAGAATTAATACATAAATTTCAATGTGAACTCATTAGTTCAAACTAACTATGTAGGTTGCAGTCAGCTTTTGTAGACTTACTTCTGAAGCATTCGCTGTCTGTCTTTCCAGCCTGGATCTTAGGGGCAATGGAAAGTTTTATCCCTTTAGATATCATAAACATGGATATTCTGAACCTGTCCAAGAAGAAGGAAAAAAAAAAAAGAAATATTAGTAATAAATTGCACCCCAGAATATCTTTTGATAATATACAAGAATATAAACCTAAAACAAATAATTTGTATTTCTAGAATGAAGCACAACTATTTCAATGAAAAAATAAAAATAACCTAACTTTATACCTTAAAGAAGGAGAAATAAAGAAAAAAGGAAGCCCAAAGTTAGTAGAAGGAAATAGCAAAGATCAGAGCAGAAATAAATAAAGTCCAAAAAAAAAAAAAAAAAAAAAGAAAAGCAATGAAACTAAGAGCATTTTTTTCATTCATCAAGAGAAAATGAGAGGATGCAAAGCAAATTAGAAATGAAAAAGGAGATAACTGATAGCACAAAATACAAAGAATCATAAGAGAATTCTGCAAACAATTATATGCCAGCAAAAATTCCTAGAAACAT